TGGTTGTTTTTTTTTTTTCTTTTCTGTACAGTACTGGCTGGTGGGGAATACTGTGTAGACTTCTCTGTATCATGAGTAATGATAGAACCTACTTTCTAGTGAAATTGAAAACACAGCATAGAATCCCAAGTCTGGAAAATCCTTGCACAGCTAAAACTGAGAAGGAGAAAAGACTTCAGAAAATAGAACCCTTCCTAATGAGAGGGAAGATGGTATGGTAATGGGGTTTAGCATAACTGAAGTATTTCATATTTTTTTATAAGTGTTGTCATAACTTGTCAAAAAAGCACAAATGTAAAGTAAACTTGGCTCTGAATATACTGGGAGGGGTAGAAGCATAACCAGCATGTTACAAGATTAAGATGTTTGGGAGAAAGCTATTGCAAATAGTCATTAATTACTCTCAAGTGTTACTAATGTATGTGGCACTCCTTTCAAATGCGGTGGCTTAATTAAAACTGTTTCAACTGGTGGTTGTAGAAACTTTGTGGTGTTTGTGGTTCACAGATTCATTTCATAAACTCAAGCAAATAGCCATTCTTTCCTTCTCTTAATGTGAATATCAGTATCCATGAAGTGTTGTGTTAATGAAGTGAAGTTAAAGACCTCATGTCCAGGAGGCAACAGCTTCATTTTCCAGTCAAATAAGCTTGAGTATACACCACAAACCATGTCTGTGCACCTTCATCAGAAGTACCAGGCATAGAAAGCTCTTTGCAAAGCCTAAACCTCTTAAATACATCACAGCTTGAGGGGGATCCCTAAACATTTTTAGTACGTAATGGTCTACAGGAGGTCTCAGTTGTGGGAAGCCTGTTCAATAACTGTGCTAAGTACCTTTTCTATACTGATGAAGAACTTTAAATAGTGATAAAGTGGAGTACTCGTCTGCCATTTTCAGTGGAAGACTGCACTTCACCCATGATTAGAAACCTTCCATTTCTAACCTGAGATTATGCATGGCCTGCATATCGCCCTGTGCTAGTGGCATTCTGTATCCTGAACCACACTTTCTCCCTCTGTGTTTTTACAGAGAGCAAATCTCCTGTCAGCTACCGCTGTCTTAAACCAGCCTGAGGCTTCTAATTTCTGGAAAGACAGGTTCAGCATTCTCCTGATTTTTATAGCTGTTCTCTTCCTTAAATGTCTTAGTTTTAAAACAAACTTACCACCCTGCATTCTGGTGGCTTGCAGGAGTTTCTTTTGGTTTGTTTTTTTTTTCCCCCCTCCTTTAATTACTCTTAATTTTAAATAGAGTTAAGGAAAATATTTTTGTTCTTTTTAGGCTTTCCTAAATGCTTTGAAGGTAATTGGAGGGTTTGTATAATGCCCATTTTTCTGACATGAAGAGCATTTGTACTCTTATTTACCTACCAGTCTTTATTCAGCTGCAGCCTAAATCTGTGCTTACTATAATTTACTGAACAACTCTAGCGAGCTTCAGGCTGCAGGGTAGCTCCTTCTAACCCAACCTGGAGAAGAGAGAGCAGCTTAGGAGAATCCAAGTGCACTTGGCTTTCAACTCAGGGGGAGTTATGAGATATCAAAAATGCGCATGACTGGGTGCTAGGGAAGGCTAACTGACCTGAGTGGGATGACTAATGCTTAAATCTCATGGATATGGGAAACAACTGCCACACCCCACTGGGATTTTGTATTTTTAGTTGGTGTAACAAGTGACTAATTTTTTAGACAAGTCTTTGACAAGGTAGATGCTTACAAAGTGTTCACCTGACGTTTACATCCTGCATCTAAGGACTTTTGGACCTAGAATACCTACATCAATCAAGACAGTGTAGTAACAGGTCATTCAAGGTAATTTTTTTTGTGGGGGAGAGTTGTTATGGTGATAAGCACTGTAGAAACAAAACCACCCATGTGTTACAAGGAAAAGTTACACACACACACAAAAATTACTGAGATGATTAACAATGAACCAAGCACATATATTGATGGAAACCAAAATTCTTTAGGATGCACGCAACAGGGAGAGCTGAAGTGCTGGTCCCACAATGCAGAGCAGTGGACGTTGCTGGCAATACAGAACAGCACCCTGAAAAAACAGGGGTTTCAGTGTCAGTAGGTGAAGCTGAACAGATTTTAAAATTAACTTGGGAGACGATACTCACAACCAGAATAAAGTATAATCAAATCTGGAGGATATGTTTGCCAAAAATAGGGATGCTGAAGTTCTGAAATATGTGATTCCTATAACAGGTCTGTACAGGAGCAGCAAAATCCATGTGCCGTGAGTTCACAGCACCTAGGATATGTCAGCATTAGTGCACGGGTGCAGCAGTTTATATGTGTAGATCCCATTGACCAAGAATGTGTCAATTTTGCTGTGCATGTGCAGTATATTTATACGATAGGTCCAGTGCATCCACAGTGCAGGTCCATACTGGTACGGTAAGCAGCCTTTTGTCTGGTATTTCCTGTTGTCCAAAGGCGTGGGCCAAGCTGCTCCAACTATGGAGCCTGACATCCAGAAATCCCAGGCAAAAAGCCAATGCTCTCAAATTTTGCCTCTATAAAATTATATTTAAATTACTACAGAGTTGCCAGAATGATGCAAAGGTTCTTCTATTATGATTTTTGAATACCTAAATTTCGTGAGGCTGAATGGAGATAATAAAGATTGTAGTGGAAAACATGCAGGCGTATCTAGAGCTTTATAATATAAATATTATAACTATAAACAATATAAATAAATAATAATGTATTATAAGCAATATACATTGTATAATATAATTAATAAATATAAATGTTTCCATGATTTACATTCCTCATGGGTTCGTCTTTGCAGGATTGGATAATATTTACTAGAAGGATTGGTATGACTGATGCTTTTTATTTATTTATGGGAATGTGAGCAACATATACTATTTTCCATAGAGATCTTTGTGAATATGGAGTGTTTTATAAGTATTAGAAATTGCTCAGCATCAAGGGGACACATCAGAAATCAGTGTTGACTGAGTCGGAGACATCCCAGAAAGGTTTGGAGTGAGAACTGACATGAAACTGTGACCCTAAAAGCCAGCTAACTCCTATCCTAACACTTGTCCTCAGCGTGCTGCCCTGGGAAATGATCATGAATTGAAGTACGTTAGTTGACTGTCACGGTCTTGAATACACTTGGAGGCGTATACCTGGGGCAGGAGCTGACATGTGGCCATTACAATCCCTTTTCAGTAAACAGCCTGTTTTTAATCTCTCTTTGTGTTAGTAATCCCATAGGACAAGAACTAAGCAGAACTCATCATGAAAAAGGGATTTAGATAGATCGTGATACTGGAAAATTAATTTCTCTTCTGATTTGCAATTGAAAGACAGAACAACTTGCAAACCAAAAGTCGTTAAAATTGTAATTGGCATTTAGTATCAAGACAATAGGGATAATTGAAAA